CGTGGAACGGATTTATGCGCACCCGACTCGATCTGCATCTTTTGACGATAGTTTCCTTTCTGGATCAAGCGTTAGCCAGTGTGACCGTTGAAAGCCGTACTACTTCACCAACTCGGGATTTCTACTATGCAGGTCCCCTGCTCGTAGATCCTATCAAGATTTATTCGTGTAACGCTCTTGATAAATTATTATATTGCAATTTTAAACTATCAATTATTAAAAAATATACTAATTGTTTTCTAGATTTTTTAGTTTTTTTTTTAGTTATATATTATAGCTCTTTACAAATAGAACAGATATTGCAATTTGTATTTTTTTTAGTAAATATATAGTATGAATTCAAACAAATATTTATAAGCTTTGGTTTAAGTAGGATAATTTTTCTAAAATTGTTTGAAGTCTATAAAGTGAAATATTAAAAATTTCAAAAAATTTTAAAATTTTATTAATTGCTTGTTCTGAAATTATATATTTGTCTTTAATATATAGAAGGTGAAGTCTTTTTATTAAATTACTTGATAAATCTTAAAATATAAATGTTAATAAAAAACTTTTTAAATAAAATATATATAAACAATAAAAATAATTACTATAATTTATTGAAATAGAATTAGGATTATTTGAATCCTTTTCTAATTCATTATCATTTTCTAGTTCTTCTTCTAATTCTTCTTCTAATTTTTCTAAATTATTATCACTTTTTAGTTCTTCATTTTCTAATTCTTCTTTCTCTAATTCTTCTAATTCTCTTTCCAATTCTTCTAATTCTTCTTCTTCCTCTAATTCTTCTAATTCTCTTTCTAATTCTTCTAATTTATTTTCTTCTAATTCTTCTAATTCTTTTTCTAATTCTTCTATTTCAAAAAATTCTTCATTTTCTAAATCTTAATTTTTTTTAAAAAAATTAATTATTAGATTTAAAATAAATATACAATTTATCTTTATAATCTTTATCTTACTTTGTTCAATATTATCATTACTTTGACTTTCTATATTATTTTGTTCAATATTATCATTACTTTGACTAATAGTTTTCTTAATACCCTCCATATTTTGATTAATAGTTTTTTCAATATCTTTTATACTAATAGTATTAATTTGACTATTAAAAATATTTTCTGATATATTATTTGAAATTGTGAGAGTATTTTAAATATTTTTTTGCATTTTCTATGTTTTGTTTAAGAAAAGATACTTAAAAATTTGCTATTATTATTTATTTCTTATAAATAAAAAGTACAAATACATACATAACAACTCTTTCTGCTTATTACTTGCACAAAACTATTCCCAAACTTACTCACAGAAAATTGTAATTTTCTCAATAATTTATTAAGATAACTGCTTTTAGGCTCTTAGGTAAACTTGACTGACTTACAAAATTACATATAATTCTTGAATATTAAAATTATATCTTAAAAACTCGCTGAGAAAATTATTCTAGCAGCCCTAAGACCAAAAATCAAACTTCTTAATATCTTCTGAAAACTTTCTTCTAAACATCTAAAACACTCATAAGAAAAGTTTCTGAGCTCTTTATCAGCTTCAAAACAAGCTATAAAACATCAAATTTAAGCAGAAATTAACCTCTTTAGCTCAAAAATTGTCTTCTTATTCTTTGCAAAAAACTTTTACTATTCTAAAACCTACTATACCTTTCCAAAACACTAGATGCTCTTTGTGTAATATTAGGCTATATATATTACAAACCCAAAATTAGATTTTATTCTATAAATGAAATATATACTAATTTAAAAATCTCATTGTACAATCATTATTATATTAGTTTAGTAAAACAATATCAAATTAGTACAAACTAAATTAACTGCAAATTACTACTAAATCCCTTTAACTATATTAAATTAATTATTCTATATTAAGTTATAAGTTTTGATTGCTTTTAACCAAAAATTTGAACCAAAATTATCCTAAAATTCTGGTAACATTTGATCTAATATTAACTTTAATTAATTTTTAAAATTAAGTTAACAAATTTATTTAAAATATATATTATTTAAAACTTTAATTACATAATAAAATACCTATTTTAAGTACTACTGATTTAGATATTCTTGATCTTGATTACTTTTACTCTAGATGTAGAAGTAGCTTTGGAGTTGCCTTCTCAGAAGAGTCTCTAGATGTTATTCATCCTCTTCTAGTCTAAAGC